CTTTTCGGTCATCCTACTGTATAAGAGTGAAGAAAAATTTCTGACTAGGGCTTCAGTATTATTTCAGATGCAATTTAAAGAGTTACGAAAGTAAGAATTCAGTGTGATTCCTCTCTCCAAAGCATTTTCGAATCCGACAATTTTAGGTTTCCTTTTTCTACGAAAAATAGCTTAACCTGGGGAGTGATATACGAAAAATAAAACTCGTGGCGAATTTATTGAATAAGGTTCGAAAATTGTACAGCTATAGAAAATTCCAGGCAATTTTACAGATTTCACAGAAAACAGTCGTAGTAACACCACCATGAGTCAGACACAGTTTTATTACAACAGCTCGTAATCATTCCCTTACCGATGCAAAATCTCTTTCTGGCCATCTATTTCATTCTTCCATGTGGTGTAATCGGCTTGTTCCCAGTATGTTGTTGGCTCCTGATGCGTGACAGTGTGGTCCGCTATCTCATAGCCTCTGGAATACGCACTTTCCACCAGGAAGTAATCAGTATAGTTGTGAGATACAAACAGCGTTCCCACGGCAGGGCAGCCATTGGGATTACTCACGCCGTCAAAAAGCTCGTTATAGAGATCATAGTATTGCTTTTCTAGATCATCGTCGAATGTAACCATGATGATTTGAGGAGTTTTCTCAGGAGTCAACCCCCCAGGAGGTTTACGATCATCGCTGCAGCGACAGTTCGGTGGAAGACACTTTGCAGGATCACAAGGTTCAGCGGGATGAAACTGCGCTCGAACGCAGGAAATGAACAAAATGAATCCCAAACAGGAAAAACAAGGATCCATAACCTTTATAAAAAGCAATGAACTACAGCAGCAACTATAGCAAGCTTCTGACTTCTCCAATTGCAAGTTCTCGGAATCTTTATCTTCACACTGATTGTTACTTCCGGCGCACCGTTCAAAGTCCTGGACCACGCGATTTTTGAGTTTACCGTCTGTGGGATGTGAGCTTGCTCGTGGGAAATAAACTTGGAACCAGTGTGTCAAAAGAAAAATTTCCCACTGATATCCAGGGGCAGTTCCTGTTATAAATACGCGCAAGAACCCGTAGCCCCAGATTTTTTTTTGCATCAAGTCACGTGAAGATCAAGGGTCACGCATTCCCAACATCCGATGTGTCTTGGTCATGTGATCGAATCCTTCGTGGAATCGTCGAACAGGATGTGCTATTCTTCGACGTTTTCCTGTGAATTCTGCTCACTTTGATTTGTTTACAGTGGCAAAGGTATGTCAACTCCATAATTTTTCGTTTTGTTCACAAATTCTTTATCTACAGGTTGGAATTGCTTATGGGTCATGTCTTTATTCATGAGCTTATGGGGCAGGGGATTTTGTGCCATGCGATCCAACTGGATACAATATCCATACCCCGTGAAATTGTCATAACTGATTTTAGTGGTGTCACGTCAGGAT